CTTCTCTTTTTTTTTAAAAGTTAAATAACTCGGTTATTTTCAATCTATTTTAAAAGTGATAAAGAGAAAATATGTTTCTTTTGGCCAGATCTACCACCTCTTAAAATATTTGCACTCATTTCTGGGACATCCTGTATATAGCTTGCTAAAAATTCATGAAAATAGAGCTAAAAATAACAAAAATATAACACTTAAATTTCTCTGTTGCATTTTTTTGCATCTGAGTGTAGTAACAAAAATTAAAAACAGACGTTATCAGTACTATATTGTACTACCCAATATTAACTATAATGACATTCATGAATTTCAAATGAGTTTGATCATTTTTCCAATTACAAATAATAATTAGGTGGAACATACATTTCTGTGGAATATTATAGTATCACAAGTGTAACTAATAGGTTCAATATAAGTTCTCACGAAAATTAATTTTATCATTATTAATAAGATTCAAGAATGACAAACTTCGCGGTTTTCGTATACAATTACTGTGATTAAAAACTGTTTATGTTAAAATTTATAATAAACACATGAATCAAATTTAAATATATTATCAAGCATTTCTGTTTAAAATTTCAAAGAAAAAGAGACAATTTCGTAGAAACTAAAGGAAGCAAAAGTGATACTCATTTGCCTTGACTTTTATAATGTAATAATTTTCATTTACTGGTTTCCGATTTAGAGGTTGCGAATATATTTGTAAAATTATTGGATTGTAATTGTTTATATTTCCGATCCTGATAATAAATAATTTACATCTTCCTATTCCGGATTTAAAATAATTTACATCTCGAATTTTAAGAAGACAAAATACACATACATATATGGCACTTTAACCAAATTGACAGGCGGAGTGTCTTCAGAATATTTGATCACATTTGGAAAAATGTTTATTTTAATTTTAAGTTCAATTATTTTTTTGATCTTTATAAATTTCTGCATCTAAACAAACTACAAATACAGGGTGTTTAAAAAAGCATGTGCCATGTCTCGTAGGGAGATTCCTCTCGTAAAAATGTCTGCCTTGTTTCGTAGCTACAGGGGGTTAAAATCTTCATAGTTTTTCGATTTATTATAATTTTCTTCCAAGTGCTTATAGCGATTCGAATGAAATTTGGAGGGTAAAAGTTACTATGAGTGCTACATATTTTAATGCTAAAAAAATGTCGACATATTCACCAGGGACGTGTATATCAGTTACCACTGTAATATTTTTCTAAAAAAAATATGTACGCTACTGACTTTTTTCTCTTGTTAGCCAAACTGTGTAGAAAGTTAAATGCTGACTAAAAGTTGTCTCTTGATATTTTGTCGATTTCGGTCTACTTGATGAGATAAACGTAATTTAATTAATTTGCCTTAATCAATTTCTTTAAGAAATTAATGAAATTAATTTGCCAAAATGTTAAATAAGTACTTATTGATTCCTCATCAAAAATATGAAAAAAAGTTCCTATAAACATGGTTGTGGAAATGCATTTTAAGTTACAGGATGTTAAAATTTTTTAAAAATAGGCCTTTTGTAAATATATTAAATGCCATTATTTTTGGGTGAATTTGCTGTACATCAACGCTATAAATTTTAATAAAATTTAGTAATAAATTACATTAAGTAAATAATTTGTTAATTCTATTTTTATTTTAATTTTATTAATTGTGATTAATACATATAATATATATAACATATTTATGTCATTCTATTCAGAATGCCATTTTCGAGGCCATTTTCTATCAAATAAAGCTTCATTCGGAACCTCGCAATTAGTCGAACTAATTAGTGGTTTTAATTAGGGTAGAGGTTTGTTCCTGTTATTCCAATATATGCATTCAGAACGTCAAAATTAGTGGTAGTCATTTTCAATTAGTAGAAAAAGTTAAAAAAAAATTGACTTTTCCACTAATTATACTTCAAATTTGCGAGGAATGTCATTTTGGCCTTTGATTATCATGCATCATGAGAAAATGTGGTTAGAAACCAAAAGTTTATTGTTTTATAAGCTAAATATTAGGGTTTCTCTATGGATACAGTTGATTACTGCAAGCTGTTGCTAGTGAAATAGGAGGTGAATGAAACTAATTTAATATGTATACAATTAATCCTCATTTATGTCACATACTAACTTACTAAATCTCGTTTTATATCTGAAAAAATATATATAAGGTGAAAAACATTTTTGAAAAATACCCGGCAAAATTATTTAAATAAATAAATAAATATTGAGATGGCTCCAGATTCAAAAAGTAGATCTTTATAATTGTAAACGAGATGTCTATTATTATTTTTTCTTTATGTTATAATATTTTACGTAAATATCTGAACCATCAAATGAATCTGTGCCAAGTTAAACAGTATTTATAGATTATATTAAATACTCAAAACAAAAATCTGAAAAGAAAGCGCCAAATTGATATGAGATAGACGAGTTATAATAATATAAAAGTTAAAGTGTTATGACAGAAGCTGCTTTTAAATTAATATGCACAGGGTGGGTCAAATTGGACGCTTTTAAAGGGAAACACCCTTTTCTATAGGAGATAGACGAAAACTAATATCGGTGTCTGGAGCTCAAATTTTGTCAAAAACATGATGGTGAAAACCGCACATCGATATCTGTCACCGTTACGGAGTTACGTGTTTTTCAAAAATATGCATTTTTAACAAATTAAACTTTTGTAACTGTAAGCTGTTTGTAGCTGTAACTTTTTTCCTATGGAAAATTTTGTATTTTTATAAAAACATTTCCAAAGCACCTTTTTACGTAGAATTTAATGGTTTAAGTATAATTTTTTTAAAATTAATAATTTAAGAATTATCAACAAAAAATTTGATTTTTTATATGGGACACCCTGTATATTTTTAATTCATTGAAAATAATTTAAAATTACCTTTCCAAAAATATAACACACTTGATATTTTGCTCGATTCCTCTTCGAGATATAGAGTATATAAAAATTCGCCCGCTTTAAATAAGTAGGCTTTGAACGGCATCGGCTGTAATGCAAAAAAATTCTAGCTGTGAGCATCAATTAAAACGAAAATAATATTTGCTATGAGAGATGCAGAATTTTATAACAATTTAAAATATATTTAACCAACATCAACACATCTAAACTATATCTAATAACAATAAAAATAAATAGCAAACCAAGACATGAGATTTTGCTACAGGTGTTCCGACATATCGACCGTCTTTTGTTATGGACAGACGGGGCCGTTTTTGAACATTTCTCGAGGAAATCATTAACACAGTAGGGGTGAAAGATACCCTCTCATAACTGGTAAGTATAAGTAAAAATCAATTTTTCTGTTGATAACTCTTATAAGTTACTAATTTCAAAAAAATATACTTAAACCATTAAATTCTATGCAAAAAGGGCATTTTCTATTCTATTTGCAAAAAGGTGCTTTGGAAATGTTTTCATAGAAATACAAAATTTTCCATAGCAAAAAAGTTACAGCAATTTGTAAAAATGCATATTTTTGAAAAACACCCCGAAACTCCGAAACGATATCAGATATTGATGTGCGGTTTTCACCATCATGTTTTTGATGAAAATTGAGCTCCAGACACCGATATTAGTTTTCGTCTCCTATAGAAGAGGGCGTTTCCTTTTAAAAGTGTCCAGTTTGACCCACCCTGTACCTATACAAATACAGGATCCGGCTATAGTGCGTCGGGTATCCATAGCTCCTAAAATAAAAAACTCGGGAATTTTGTTTAAGTGCAAATCTAAAGTATGTATCTACTAGTATGTATTTCAGGAAAATGTTTTAACTTCTATAGAGTAGCTCAAAGAAGTGTCAGTGGATTGGGATGATTTTTTTTTAAATGGAACACCCGGTATATTATTGCTTTATTAACTTTCAGATCACTTTACATAATCCTAAGATATGAGTAAATATATCTCGATAGTTTCAGAGATATTCCTCATAAATAAATAAAAAATATATTTTTCATTCTCTTTTAAAAAAAATATTAAAAATACAAGAAATGTCCTGAACCTGAAATCAAAGCTATATTAGGTATTTACATTAAATAAAATAATTTTTCTTCGTTTTTTTAAATGGAACACACTGTAGGTATATTATTTTTTCAATAGATGGAGAATTAAATATTTTTGTATTTAGAGTATTTCAAAATTTTGAAAGGTTTCGTAGATATTCGCGGTTTTATATTTCATATGGCATTTTCCACAGTAAATTTTTATCAAAGCCACCCAATTATTTTTCTTTTGTATTTTACCTTTGAAAGAGCCACAAGAAATAATACTGTGTGTGTCTGCAAAACCATTAAAAACAAAAAATGTTCATTTTTTAATTCTTCATCTATTGAAAAAAATAATATACAGGTTATTTTATATTTTAAAAAGTTTGGCGTGGAATTTTGAGCATCCTGTATGATTTACGATTACCATATTTATAGCAAAGTAAGTACAGACCATCTAAAGTAAATACCTAATATAGTTTTGATTTCTGGATAGTTCTTGTATTTTTAATAATTTTTTTAAAAAAGGTTGAAAAATATTTTTTATTTATTATATTCATATCACAGAATTATATACAGTGAGCTGAAAGGAAGCCAAAAATGCAATAATATACAGTGTTCCATTTAAAAAAATATCCCTATCCACTTAACCTTTCTTGAGCCACCTTGTAGAATTTGTGTTGTGTTAAAATATTTTCCTGAAATACATCCTCGTACATACTTTAGGTCTGCACTTATACAAAATTCTCAATTTTTTTATTCTAGGATCCCTGAAGAACTAATGCCAGACCCTGTATGTTGTATTGTAGTAACATTGATACCCACTGTTTTACTTTAAACGTATTTACTGAACATATTATTTCAACAAAACATTTTTATTTGGATAAAATATTTACTACAATCTTAATCTTGATTGTAGCTATTAAAGTTAATATATTTTTAGATCGTAGGCTAATTGTAAACATCCCACAGATTTACCTTGCCAATATTAATTTAGAAATATTGTGTACATACCTATTATGAGCTTTCCATCTAGAAAATAAATGTAAGTACTGTCTGCATTGTATGTACATGAAAACAGCTCCTCCAGTAAATCCAACCGCAACAACAACTAACTTGGTCCAAAATGGCCAAGCTAAAATAAAAAGAAATGTTTAGGGAAATTTGATTTCTATGTAACTCACAAATATTTACCTATCAAACCCTTCTGAACTTCTTCTGCTGCCCTATCTATAAGTACAAACAGTGACCAGACTACACAAACAGCTGCTACAAAATGAAATAAAATGGCACATAGAAGCCTCCGCCTTTCAACACTGCTCATCTCTAAAATTCGCCACTAGAATTTAAGATTAATTAAATTTAAATTAAAAAAATACCTTTCTATACATACTTCTGACAATGGCTTGATTTTCGTATGTAGTATAAAATTAAATTTACACAGCTCGCAGGATCTTGTATCGGAAGCAGCTAGCCATTGCCTCAAACAATTTTGGTGAACATATTTTAAACTCCCCGAACAATAACAAGGAGAGAGTAAAGGATTTTCCGCATCAGCTTCACAATGACATATTCTGCAAATATCTCCCATAGAATTTGAATAGTTCGAATCAGTATCACATTTTGAAAAGTCTTGTTTTTTAATTGAATCAGAGAAAGTTTCCCGGGACACGGTTCCACGGGTTTCTTTCACTTTAATAAATTGTCCAGGCATGGCACTCAAGAGGCGGAAAACAAAAGGCAAATCACAATATTTATGTAATCACAGTGGAAACAAATAAACACATATGCACAGTTAACATTTTGTTACTTTACACTTTTCCAATAGATACTTCATTAGACTCGGCGAATATTTGGCGAACTATATTTTAAATATTAAGTACTTCGTTATTGTGCGATCTATATAAAGAAGACTGATTGTTTCTTTATGATTTTTATATTATGTATATTTTCCCCCGACTCGCTTATCTCTTGCCAATTCTATAATGTCAAAAACAGCTGATTGTCGTAATTGACATTTGACAATTATGTCAGGCGCATGCGATATAACCTGAAAAATCGAACTTTTGTGTATTGATTTGGTTCATGACGATTAATAAACAAAGTTTAATTCAGTGTCCTAAATAGCTTTTAAATTTTTGTGTTTTCAAACAGTATAAATAAGTAAACGATTAGGTATGACTGACCTAAGAAAACGACGTGAATCTGACGGTAAACCTTTGGAGTCAGCTGAATCAGACCACGTAAGTGTCTTAAATTTTTAGATAAATTAAAATATCGGTAGTATCTTTTTTAATTTGCTTTTGATTTATTTCTATTTACTGATTATATTTAAAATACTTTTTGAGTCTTGAGTGGTATTTATTTAAATTAAATTAATTTTGAAAGTGACAGTAATCAAATATATTTTTCCTTTTAGAAATAAAATAATAAGCATTAATTAAAAACACACTTATTTCATGCAAAAATATTTTGATACGTGAAGCGACTCATGTGAATGTCACAGGGGCAATTGTTAATTCATATTATTAGTGTGGAAAATTGTATGCTTTTTAATCGCTTAACTATAGATGTCCGATATGTTTGAAACCTTACAAGCGTTGCTATTTTAAAAATATACGTTTATACAAGTCTGTTAATGATTTATTAAAGATGTTATGCATAGTTGTTTATTTAAGTGGGATAATTATTTAATGAGTCACAGTTGATAGTTATAATAATTTTAAACATATTCTATATACCTAGTGGTGTAAAATACTCTGACAAGGGGTAAGGGACAAAAAACTCACAATCTTTTAAGATGTTTATTTAAAATTAATTTGCTTCAAAAAAAGAAGCGGGGCGACATGTTTCGGGACTTAACAATTCCCATCTTCAAGCCCAAGAAAGCTAAAATAATTACAATCAGAATAATAAACAAATTCCAATAGTCATACAGAGGTCAAAAAATGTAAAATACAATCACAAAACAAATTAAAAGGTTAAAAAAAATCAAAAAAGGTTAAAAAGTTATTTCTATCACAATTATTCAATCACAGATAACATTATGGCAAGCTCAGTTTGAAAATTAAGACAATTAAATTAAAATCATAAAGGGCAATAATTTAAGTTCAACAAAAAACGAAAAAAAATCAAGAACTTTCTACCTGGAAACGACTTTCTTCTTGTAAAAACGAATCAACTTCTTCAGAACAATCTTCTAAATGTAAACATAACTTAATTTTTTCACAAATTTTTGCCACTCTATCACTTTTGGCATTATTATACCATTGTTCAAAAATATCTTTTATTTTAAGTACTGGACATTCTCCTAAAATAATCGAAAACTTAAAATATCGCAGTTTTCCGCAGACAGTGAAATAATGGTTTTAAAGTACAATACTTGGGACAACATTACACGAAAAATCTTGTCTACCATTTTATACCATTTTTTTAAAACCTTAAATAAAATTACACTACCAATTTTCATTCAGACTCGATTTGACTTTTTGGAATGGCCATGTATATAAAAGCAATGATCGAATTTAACAACAGCTAATATGGAAAAAGAATGTACTTACTATAGGTGTTTTTCTCCATTTTGTGCAGCTAGGAAATATTCTTTTCGTCTACACAATATTCACCCCAATTTAATTGAAAAATGCGGTCACTTAAACACACTTCCACTATAATAAAAATACTGATATTCAATTTTTGGTATTTGCATTGCTGCTCATGTATCAATTTTTTTCGTATATTTTTTGGTGATTATATACTTATGCGAAACAGGTTTTATCTGGTTTTTGTCCATAGAGCGCTAGACTGTGCATCGGTTCGAAACATCGAGGGCGTCATCCTGTAGCCCGTCAGCCCGTCCCCAATTATGCAGAAATCGTCCCACATTTTTCTTCAATATCGAATCATTAGTCCCACCCCGATGAAGATGTAAACGAAATGTCATATTCAATTTTGCATCGTGTGGCACCGTCGCTCACATTGCCTACCCTGCAAATTTGGTCGCGATCGGACGACATCAACTTTTGACATTTCTTACGTCAAAACTGACAGTGATACGTGTCGTACACGGTCAAGTTGGCCTTGGTCCAACCTATCCACATGTCGGAGGCAGATGCCGAATTCGGCCTATGTCCGAAATAATTAGACATATGGCGATTATAATTAAATATACCTACCTATATCCACAAAGTTAACGCGGAAGAGTTTTGATTGCATTGGTTTCATCTTCTATGTGGAGGGTGTTAATCTTTTGTTGTTATATTATACCAAAAAAAAGATTAACCCCCTCCGCAAGGAAGACTATTTATAACCATGAAGTTGGACTTCCAGGTATCTGGCAAGTTTAGTGTGGACAACTCGCCATATGTCTAATTATTTCGGACATAGGTCCACTTCGGCATCTGCCTCCAACAGACATACCAAATTTCATTTAAATCGGACGATTTTTTGATTTGATTCATTGATTATGGGGTTTTGTAGTGCACGAAACGTAGTCAAGATGTCATGAAAAGATGGGATTCTTCGAGTCCCATCTACTTTCCGAGTTTCAACCTTCTCATTCACATAGGGCCCGAGTTACAACCTTTGGTTACAATGCTCCAAAGACCCATTAAATCGGACGATTTGTTGCCATTGATGATGGGGTTTCCCAGCGCACGAGACGTCGCAAATCCGACGTCAAAATATCATGAAAAGATCAGTGTTTCAGCCCCCTAGCTCACATAGGGCACGAGTTACGATTCCCCAAGACCGATACCATTTTTGTGACGCTTAGCGACCTTGGCGTGACGCTTCGCGTAACGCTAGCTCGTGTGTCGTGGCCTTGAATTTTTACTCTCATCGCGCGTAAAGAAGTTTCACTTCAAAAACGGCGTCAACGATGGCTATGAAAAAAAGATCGCTGTCATTTTATATATAAGATTATATGGGGAATGTCATCAATGTTCATTTCCAAGCCAACTGGACGCCGTTTTTTTTCCATCATACGCTATTAAGTATAAGTGTGTATTTTTTACTTTATGAACATTTTTATAACATTTGATTTTATAATTTGATTGACGCTTTCTGAAATAGTATATCTAATGATCTTCCGGGATCCGAGACAAGACACTCTAAACACTCTAAAAAGTTAATAATGTATTTTTTACCTTGTTTATGAAAATAACTCTAGTGTATACATATACTTAAGATAAAATATAGACTACACTATTTACATCTAAACGCGATCAAACAATAATTTTTGTACACATGTTTACTTCTGGTCACAGTTGACCGCAGTCGACCGAGTCTTCCTTTCCAGCCTATGTTGTCACGTCTTTATTACTTTAATATAATCTATATATATATATATATATATATATATATATATATATATATATATATATATATATATATATATATATATCTATATATATATATATATATATATATATATATATATATATATATATATTTGGTATGCGTCTCAAAAGTTGCTCACCCCTATAACTTTTTTATTTCTTCAGATAAAAAAATGAGATTTGGTATGTTAGCATATGACATAAATTAGGATTGATTGACGTATTCAATTATTTTCGGTCACTTCCTGTTTAGCCGGAAATGACTACAACTTTTGATTTTTAAATGGCACCCTCGGTATTTTTTTACTTTATTCGATAGAAAATGACACTCTGAATCGAATGACATATCATATGTCAACTTTTGGCATATTCGCTCAAAAACAAATTGTATTTTAAATTTCAATCTAGAGTGCCATGGCTGTGTTAAAAACACTAATTTTTAATAAGGAGCCGTGGAAAAATAGATTTGACCGTCTAATGTTTTTAGTGTTTTGTCCTGGCCGGTTAAAAGATGACCAAATCGTATTTTTAATCATATCTCAATTTTTTCAAATGGAACGAGTGTGGCTCAATATCATATTTGGAAAAAGCATTTTTTACGAATAATTTGATACCACACACTTGGGATTTCGAGTAAAATTGTCGTTATGAACCGCAGGTTACAATTTCAAATAAACCATATGCGAAAATGTCAAAAGTTGATATATGATATGTCATTTATTTTCAGAGTGTCATTTCTATCAAATAAAGTAAAAAAATACCGAGGGTGCTAGTATTTTAAATTTCAATCCAGGTTGTCCTGGCGCTGTTAAAAACACTAAGTTTTAATCAAGGAGCCTTGGAAAAATAGTTTTGATGATCTAATATTTTTCGTGTCTTGTCTAGGCCGGTTAAAAGATGCACAAGTCGTATTTTTAATCGCATTTTTTTATGAATATATGATACCACACACTTGGTATTTTGAGTCAAATTGTCGTTATGAACCGCGTGTTACAAATTTCAATTAAACCATATGCGAACATGTCAAAAGGTGACATATGATATGTCACTCTATTCAAAGTGCCATTTTCTATCGAATAAAATAGAAATATACCGAGGGTGCCATTTAAAAATCAAAAGTTATAGTCATTTCCGGTGAAACAGGAAATGACCAAAAACAATTAAATGCGTCAATGAATCCTAATTTATGTCATATATTAACATATCAAATCTTGTTTTTTTATTTGAAAAAATACAAAAATTATGGGGGTGAGCCACTTTTGGGACGCACCCGGTATAATAAAGACAGTACCGAGTTAAATAAATCTAGTTTTCATTTTATCCACTTCTTAAAAGCTTGCTGTAATGGCACAGAACAATCATAAAGTTTTTTCACTTTCCCTGTCGCCGATTCTATTATATCTATAGAATAGATCCTGTTTTGATTAATATTAGGGTTGTAAATGTTTGACTAAAATTAATAATTTATTATTAATTTAAAAAATTAAATACGTAATTTCGATTATTAACATTTCTTCTATAACATGTATTTTATTATTTTTACCGTTTTTGGACTCTTAAGACGTTTTTTTTCTAAACTTTTATTTAAAAAACCTCTCCTAAATCTTAATAAAATATAAAAAAGTTACGATATATTTTTAATTGAATTATAGCTTCATTAAAATAAAAAAATACCCGGCTATGATACGGAGAGTTCAGGGGTAGAACTCAGGTAGGGGTGGTTAACTAAATAGCGATCGGTAGCAGTGAAGAATACTGACCTTGGCCCTACAAACTAAATGGCAAGCGACAGTATTCTTCATCGCTACCGATCGCTATTTCGTTACAGAGTTCCACCCGGGTGTACTGAGAAACGAAAGACAGTGTTGCATTTCTCGTCAGAGTCGTCAGGGAACGACCGTTACGATGGAGACAACCTATCTATCGCTCGTGTCGCACTCGTAATGCCGGGTCCAGACCAAGCAGACAAAACTGTGACAAGACAGAAACATTCATGTTTTACGACAAAGTTGTGGCAAATCCAATATATTTCTGCGACATTTTTGTTTTGTTTCAAAATTCGGAGACTTTTCAATGTCCCCTCTCGAGTCGGTAAAGATCAAAGTGTCTATGTTTTGTTCGTATATTTTGCGACAAGTTGTCGGCGCAGTGTGGATGGCGTGTGCTGCCAACAGTAGGAGACCAGTGAAATCACACTTGGTTAATAAAACTACTTCGCAATAACTAAATTTTTGACTTTTTTGTACTTTTGTTATTGCGCTGTGAATAATTTGTCTCAAGTTTGTCTTGTCAGAAGTCTCCATTTTTTTGCGAGTTTGTCTTGTTTTTGTCTCAAAATCGTGTTTATTTTTTGTCACCCTGGTCTGGACCCGGCATTAGAATCTAAAAAAATAACACAATAACAAGACATTGTCTGACCGCATTTTCCAGCTATTTATGAATAAGCTGCTCAGTCTATATTTTATTTTAAGTCTATGGTATGTACCTAATTGATAATTTATAAGAATGTCTTTATTTTTTATAATAGATTGACAGTGAAGATGATAAGATTCCCAAAGCTGCTGTGGACCTTTCGGGAACCATTCCGACGGGTACCGATAAGGCCCCGGGCCTTTTGGAATGGTTAGTGCGCGATCTACCCGATCGATGGCGAAATTGGGCCGTTCGAGCTATATTCAGCATGGTTATGATCTTCTTTTTCTTTCTGGTCATCTACGGTGGACCATTGGCTCTCATGATCACGGTAAAGTAAACATTTTCCTTGTATATTAGGTGTCAAAAGTTTCTGAAATAAAACTTATTATAATATGTATTGAAAATTTATTCGTGTTAAACATAGAATAAAGAAGAAATACAAATTCTTTTATAGGTACTGAATATTTCGTATGATGAATGTATGAAAAGTCGTTTAGTTGGCTTGGAAATGCCGACTATTGACATTTACCACAATATTTTACATACGAAATAACAGCGATCTTCATTTACAAGCCAACTCTGACGCCGTTCTTTGTTTAAAATTATATAATATTATATTAAATTGTTTAATGATTAAAAAATCCGTAATATTAACGTACAGTACGTCTATCCGTTCTGAAGCTACGGGGCATCCGTAAAGGGAGAAACGATATTCTCTCGAAGTTTCTCGTAAAAAATTAGACGACGCGTCCAGTAGCGTGCCGTGGGTAAAAGGGCGGGGTTGGCGAGCTATGTTGAGGTTGCGATTTCACTAGGGCGCATCACTCAGTCAGAGCTAAGGGCGGAGGGGGCAATCGCCCCCGCCCCCCGTGCCTCCTATACGGCATGCCACTGGACGCGTCCCATCAATAAAAATTTGACAAATTTGCAAGTAGCGAATGAAATGAGTGGGCGGTGACATATTCGTCAAGTAACGTGGATCCTCTGTCGCTTCTATTTTTTGTCCGCATTAATTTTATAGACACAGATCTAGTAGACGTTCTTTATTGAAATACGTACTATTAAAATTTACGGATTAATCTTGGCAACACTGTCTCCAGCAACTGCTCACTTTGTCGACTGAAAGCAGAACTACAGTACAGTATTCTTTATCCGCTGCACTGTGAACGACTATCAGCGCGCAGCGGCGGCGGCGCGGCGCAGAGTTAAAATCTCGGACAGATTGACTAGCGGCTACGGTATCGCCAGCTACATCTCGGACAGGTTTTGTACCACGAAATCGCTCATAATGTTGCGCATCTTCTCATTTCTTCAATCAACGCTACTGCTAATATTTATTCTTGACAATAGAACTTTTTAGCTGAAAATAGTCTTGAATAAGACAAGAATATGCGTTAAAACGTCGGAAATTTCTTAAATAAAGGGTTTTAAATTTCCTAGTCCTAAACCTGCTAACGCCATTTCATATAAAACATAAGGAAAAGACGCAAATCTATCACAGGCATGGGGAAAGCTATCGATCGTCATTTCCAAGCTATAACTGGACGCCGCGCCGTCTTTTTCGAATACGGTATTATGTGTTATGTAGTACAATATAATAAAAAAAACGGCATCAGCTATGGCTATGAATTGAAGATCGCTGTCATTTTATATGTAAAATTATATGGAGAATGTAATGGATCGCCATTTCCAAGCGAACTGGACGCGGTTTTTTTCTCGATCATACGGTATTAGAACAGAATATCTATGATTGTGTACGTATCTCGGTATATATGCTAGAATTAAAAATGAGTTTAGGGTTAACTTACTAGGACATCAACTTAAATAGTCGATGTAGAAAAATGCAGTTTATAAAAAGCATATTTTAAATTCCATAGGTGTACGTATACATATAGGAATAATGTAATTTTTATTGGTACTTTAAACTTTTGTTAATTATTGTAGTTCATAAAAAAACAATGAAACCGGACGTAAATGTTCATATAACGTTTTATGAATACTTACTAATTACCATATTGAGTTGCTAATCTTATACATAAAATAAATACTAAAATTTTAAAAGTATCGTGGGACAGACAACAAAAATTATAAAAATATATTTTTATTACTCATGCGGGGAAAGTAGTATCTTTTCGCATTCTTTCGGAGTTGAAAAGACGCTAATTGCCCAATTCACAATTACCACACTAGTTTTGAGCAAATTTAATGTCGATTTGACTGCGACAAGTAAACTTCTCGCACTCAAATTTTTATTGGCACACGCAAATTGACAAGCAAAAAAGACAGTCTCAATATTAATAATAAGTGTCAATATTAAGGAAGTTGAAATTTAAATACATTTTTTATTTTTTGTTTATTTATTACGTTGCTTTTTAATATATCTCTTTTGCTATATTTCATCATGTAAACAAATTATTAAACACCATTATGAAGAAGCAACGTTAAAATTCCTTCACTTTCTACTCTAAAATTCGATTTAAAAATTTCAAGTTTTTAATGTCATCTTTTGCATTCATCTATGGGGTGTTCCAAAAGTTGTTTTTCTTGTCACGAGATTTTTAAAGTATTTTTTACTTTTTAATAAGTCTCTTTTGTTTACATGATGAAATATAACAAAAGAGACATATTAAAAAGCAACTCGAACGAATGAGCGCACTCGCTTCGCTCGTGCGTTCAACTTCGCTCTCTTGGCCAATCGACAACTTTTCGCACTAGTTGCACAATATACTATTTTCTTCTTTTCCTTTATTTGTAATTAAATTTTAGAATAAGTGTGAGCTTTTTTCAACTAAACTGAACTTCATTTTATTAGTATACACAGGAATACTTGGCTTATAGAAAAGAAGGAATTAGTCTGGAATAGAGAATCAAATTATTTATGAGCATTTTAAAATATATGCAATGTGGTTGTTTTCTATTAGTCTAAGAGCTAGCAATATTTTCGAGAAATTATTTTAAGAAAGCTGGTTCTTTGATATATCTTTTACTATGCTCTCTGGAACAGCATGTGCGCCGTCTCGCTGCCGAAACACGTTGCGTTCACTACTGCGCATCGGAAGAAGATCCTATAATTTTTATTACTTGTGTCTAGCCCTAGCAGGCAACTATTAAGCTCGACCAATCACGTTAGAGTTTTTGACAAACACAAATGAATTAACACACTTCAAATAACCACGCTAACCAACCTGATTGGTCAAGCTTAAAAGTTGACTGCTAGGGCTAGACACTTCTGTTTTTATTTAGTGCGTAGTGTTGAATATAAATCGAGCAAGTCTCTATAGCGCAGCGCGCAGAGTTTCCGCCTATGAAGCGAGGAGTCCGAGTTCGAGACCAGCTCGGGGTATCTTCTTCTTAAGTATATAATGGAAAATAAATTTCTTGCAGCTTTTAGGTAGATATATAATAAAATTATATAAGAGTTTCTTGCCTTGAACTGCTAATATAGAAATTAATTCCACGCTGTGTTCGACATAATGTGGATCAACCTGCTCTCACTACCGGTTTCGGAGCCCTACCCCATCATCAGGTGAGCTTGGGTCTTTTCCACAATATGTCGAGCACAGCGCAGAGTATATAAACACGACTTGTCGTAAAGTAGCGGTAAGATATTAAGTCCCGCATCGCGAGATAGCGGCCTGCGTGCTAGAAGTTTATATAATTTTATTATATACCTAAAAACTGCAAGAAATTTATTTTCCATTATATAATTTGGGCTAGCCGAAAAAAGCCTTTATTTACTATCGATAGTTGTGCCTCGGTGGTACGAAAGTACTACCATTGCACGCAGGCCGCTATCTCACGATGCGGGACTTAATATCTTACCGCTACTTTACGACAAGTCGTGTTTATATACTCTAGAAAAGAAGAAATTAGTAGAATAGAGAATCAACTTATTTATGAGCTTTTTTTTTCTATAGGCTATTGCATTGCAACGAATCGGCATTTCAATGCAATCGCTATTTCAAAAATTAATGGTTTTCGTTTTTCTAAAAATTTATTGTTATATTTATCAAAGCAAAAACAAAGATAACGCCTAATAGAAACATTAAATTTATTAGATCCGCATTGTCTTTTGTCAGGACATTTTTATTCATTTATTTCTTTTTGAAAAACGTTTTTCCATATTTTTACACATGACATACGTCAAAATGATTTTAGTTGTTGTTGGGCATTCTGAATTGATTACGTACCTACAAACATTCTTTCGAAAACTTGATAAAAATTTTCCCGTTTGTTTAAGTAGAAATGAATTCGAATAATTGATAGTTTTTGATATATTATCTAAACATCTAATGCTTTTTACATGTTTAAAGTCCATTTTAATGTGATGCCATAGAATTTACAACAAATAGATGGTTTTAATTAAATATAATATTAATCTGAACAACGTTTTTCAACAACACAAATATTTACATATGTAAGGGAGTAAAGGGAACTAGTGATGGGCATTACGATTTTTTTTACTGAATCGAATCACACAAAATCAATTTCAGATATTGAATTGACTCCTACGATTCGTTCATTTGTCTTTTTCAAAGAATCACATGCACAAATTACGTTTTATAAAAACAAGAATCGTAACTGGCACTACCGGCGATAATTTGATAGGACAATTACTTAAGGGACCAGAAAAAGAAAAATACAGTTCTTTCATTTGTTTTTCAACACTTTATGACACTGGCGTAATTGGACTGATTATTTTACCAATAATATTAAATTATCAATCCAATTATTATAATAATATACAGGGTGGTCCGAACTGTATTCCGGAAACTTCGGCAGCATATTCTGCAGATAAAAATGTTTATTTTCAGTTACAGACACCAATTTTCATCCAAATATTCACGTTACTTCAGAAATTATTTGGAAAAAATCTAAATAAAAATAAAACTTCTACACCCTGTATCTCCGAAACTAAGCATTTTGGGACATACCTTTATACGAACTTTTTTACTTATTTTTATCTGCAGAATATGCTGCCGAAGTTTCCGGAATACAGTTCGGACCACCCTGTATATACTCGTATACTATTTATTAAAGACTTATTAATACCAATTTAATATTTTTCGATATTTTTAGAGCCATAGAAATGAGCATTGATGACATTCCCCATATAATTTTACATATAAAATGAGAGCGATCTTCATTTTATAACCATCGCTGACGCCGTTTTTTATCATATTGAGCAGAGGCCAAAACGCTATTTATTTGGAGTTGTATAAAAACACGATTTCGTCTTTTAGTCCGACATTTAATGATTTATAGTCGGTAATATTATTTTAAAAATTAAATACCTTACAGATACTCCCGTACTAATCACAGTATAAGTAAGTTTCTTTCTTGTAAATAACTAATATAAATTTTAACTTTCTTATCATTTGCATTTTATGCCCATGATGTTTGTTTACGGCTTTTGTTCAAGCCTAAATATTGGTACCTGACTCTATACCTACATCACCGCCGCCGCCGGCCGCGCCGTAGAAACGAATGATTACATTGTGATTCGAAAAAAGAATCGTGAGAATTGAATCACGATTCTTTTTACGGCTCATCATTCAAATCTTATGGATCCGTGCTGGCCACGATTTAATTGAACGAACCGTATTGTAAGCAATGAATTAATTCCCTCGACTCTTTGAACCAACGATCGCATTGTAATCAGATTCAATTCTCATGATTCTTTTTTCGGCTTATCGTTCAAATCTTATAGATCCGTGCTGGCCACGATTCAATTGAACGAACCGTATTGCAAGCAATGAATCGAATCTCACGATTCATTTTTAATACTCGTTCAAATGGACCACTCGTTCAATCTTTGCCCACCTTTAAAGGGAACACATTTTAAATTTGTCTTCATAGCAGTTAACATAACCTAAGTATACCATTTTTGAAAAACAAGCTATTAAGAAATAGCAAGTTTTAAAACCCAATTAAAAAACAAGGTATTATTTAATTCTTTAATCTTTAATTGCAGACTTTGGTGGTTCAAGTTAAGTGCTTCCAGGAGATCATCAACATCGGCTATGCAGTCTATCGCATTCACGGATTACCCTGGTTCCGATCTCTATCCTGGTACTTCCTGCTCACCTCGAATTATTTCTTTTACGGCGAAAGTCTCGTGGATTATTTTGGAGTTGTTATCAACCGTGTGGTAAGTCCTAATATATCAACTCATAATTTAAGAAGTTTGTGGTAATGCAACGAAAGTACAGGTTTTTTTTTCACACAACTTATTCACTACATTTTTAGAATTTATTTTACTGAGTTTTAGGTTAAAAATATTTTGAGATTATGTACATCTTTAAATATTTTTCTACTTCATTGCACTACCGGTTTAACCGGTAGTGGCTACGAATTTGGTTATAAATAAAAGAACTACATATTTGCTTCTGTATTTTATGCTTTTTCGATTCTGCATGAAATGTATAAAGACTGTTCAGCCATCGTTCACCGTTACGTCATCATTATTTGTCAAATATCAGTTTTAGGGTTTGTCTGAGATCAGTTCATATTGTTTAGAAAATTTTAAGTACGTTCTATATTATTGATTGAGCGACTTCGTTTTTTTTCGGCATTTATCCATTTTTTCTTGAACTCTTCATCAGTTACGATCCATTTAATTCCAATCCTTTGGACTGTTGAAATTCTTATTTTTAAAGCATCAGCAACTCGCTATATTATTTAAAAACGCTTTATATCAATTTGTATTTTACATAGGAGTATTACACCTTTGCATTGTACTTACTTCATATACGGCGGCGTCCACGAGCAAGAGTATTCTACCAGTGTCTCTTTTTCGAGAAAAATAATTTATAAGCTTACAAATGAGCACTTGTTCATTTAGGTTAAATATTTGAGGCATTTTTGCAACAAAAAAATTTAATATTGTTTCACAGCAACAATCAAATTCCCCAAATCAAATGATAATAACAATTGAAGGGTCCAGGGGAAAAACATGATGAGCGCCATTTTACTAATTTTACAGGAGAGCACTGGATGGCTGCTGGTTATCAGGTTCTTTCTATGTATTCTATATTTTTACTAGGTATATATCATGGGATTTAACAACTTATTGCCCTGCAGAGTTTATACATTATGTAGGGACCAGTTAGACCTACTATAATATTGCAAAATCCTAAAAAAATGAAATTTGCGCTTATCAAGTTTTTCCCTTGGAGCCTTCAATTACTAAAGCCCGAATTACATTTACGAGTAAGGCTTGATTTTCATGCATCCGTTATCCGACGATACGATGATACGATATTAATTTTATTGGTTGAATTTAAAGGCTTGGATTGGTTAACCGTTTCAAGTGATTGAGAGAGTTCGACAATATATGACGTGATCGTTGAATGATGGCTTAACATTTATACATTTTATTAATCTTACTACGTTACTCGCGACCCCTTTTCTACCTAAATACTCGCGTGGGGTATTTTACTACCCTAATTAATGTTTGATGAGAAACACGAGAAAAAAAATTGGATGTCATAAATGAGTAATTATGTAAACCATACCCATTTTTTAAATTTTAACAGTAGTAGACATTGATTGAAAAACTTATAAAGCGTAATTAAATATTAATTGCCTGAATTTTTGGATTCATAAACTGCTTTGACCTTATTTGCTAAGCCATTGTTGATGGATTTTACACATCCATTCAGTGCAGTTGGGGCATTTAATGATTTCATGATTCATGATTTCTGGGACAAAAATAACACCTTCCTTACTGACTTCTTCAAAAGCGAATATCTACAACTACGTGAGTAGTAGTAAGTAATCGAGGAAGTACCATGACTATAGGTATATTTTCACATGCGCGTATGATCCATCTGGATGAAATCGTCTGACGGCCATCTGTCGAGCCCGTACGACAACGCTTGCGAGTGGGCATATGATTAAATGCGTCATTTCATATGCACGCGGATAATCCGTTGAGTACCAATATAAAATACATGACTATGCGCAACGGATTGACAGAACATGTGACAGTACTTAAACTTTACATGAAAATTTAAGGTGCCCGGTAGAATTTATTTTAATGTAAAATTACAATTAATATTAATGTAGTTAATGGAATTCCTCATTAAAAATAAACTAAGAATAGAAAACATTGTAGAAATTATAGGTAAATATGTGTTATTGTTTAAATAGCAGAACAATAGTGCGATTTTTTTAAACGAGATCAAGGACATCCGATTTCGAAGGGGCAAAATTTAGGTGATGATTTGTTAGTATGACTTGGAGATCTACTTTGATACATCTGCAAATATCAGTAACCCCAATTTTTTACAACTTGACTCTTTTCTTTTACTTTCGTTTTATTGTATTAGGTTAATTAAATATTTAATATGAACTTTTGTATTTTTTATCAGACAATATTTATACGTGTATATTTTAATTGAAAAGGTACAGTACGATGGCAAAGTTAGAAGCAGCTGAAAGGGACAAGAACTGCCATGTTGCCAAATTGAAAGAAAATATGAAATAATAATTTTTGGTTTGATTTTGTAACCTCATTTATTATGATCTTTTCGTGTGAAAATTTAAATGCCCAATCTAAAATGATTCGACTTTATACACTTTAGTTTTTCAAAGATCATATTTTATTTATACCAAGCAGAACGTCAGTATCTAAAAGTTATATTTCCGTGTTTGCTATTTTTTTGAAACAAGAATAACTTTGTTTTGTTTATTTTAATAAAGTTCTTTTCTCATTTTCCTTTTGATATATGTAGCTGAATTTTTATTAAGTATTCCTGTAGATTAAATTTCTTATTCTGATAGTCATTCTTATGCCGGGAATCAAAACGGGATCCCGATCCCGAAAGTTGGTACCTCCCTAGAGATATTATAAGAAGACCAGAGAGATAATAAAAAGTGAAAGGATCTTTGAATAGCTATCATCTTTCCTCGTTCTACAGCAGTGATGGCGAACCGATGACACGCGAACTCAGTTTTGGTGACATGCATTTTAAAAGATAAAAAAATCATAATTCAAATAGTTGTCTCTCATAATGGCCAGAGTTGGTGGATAATAATGATATTATTACTTACGTTAATAATACGTATGTAATTCTGAAACCAGACGTGCATGTATGTACAGGGTGGACCATTTTGGTTGTTTCTATAGGGTATCTAGGAAACCGTGAGAAATATTCAAATTTTGATACTGCAGTCTCGGGTTCTTTTTTAGAAAAAATTACAATGGCGTAAACGGATCGTGGCTATCTTGATCGGTTTCGAAGCTACAGGGAGATTCTCAAATTTTGTACTTTTTGAAGATGTTCGATAGTTTGTTTATTTTAGCAACCACGGAAAAATGAATTATACATTCTAAAGGCACTTTTTTGTGTAGAATGCAGTGGCGTAGTCAGACTTTTTTCGAAAAAAATATTTTTTGAGATATTAACTATACTTATGTTTTTTTTTAAATAGAACCCGCTGTATATTTTTAAATTTTCTTATTCAGCTTGGCATGGGCTTCTCGAAAATATATAACACTCTATATTTATTTTCACTATTAACCTCAACATTTCAAATTTTTCTTAAAATATCCACTTAGTGGATAGTAGGCCGCGCCGAGGAACAAAGTAAACGGTTGTCATGATGATCGGAACATACCTTTGATGGATGCGGGACATTTCATTTCAACAGATTGAAGTGTGTGTATTTTAAATAATAAAAAAAATAGTAAATTTGAAAATTTTGAGAAATATAATATGTTAGAATGTTATATTGAGTCTAACAAACATAAGCAAATGGCAGCTGATTTATATTTTGAGCGGTATCCAGAGCGCGAGCAACCAAACCCAGCCATTTTTAAAAGGTTAGAAGATAGTTTAATCAATTTTGGATCTTTTCAAAAACCGCGTCCGAAAAATTATCAGAAAGAAGATAAAGAAAATCAATATATTAATGTCCTCGGAGCCGAATATACGAATTAGCAATTAAATAAAATGGAACAATACCAAGCAAATAAAAAATAAGTGTGAGAGAAACAAAAAAAAAACATATTTTAATATAAACTCAAGAGGTTACTTCAATCGGGCTTCTCAGTTAATATAAAAAAAAATAAATAAAAACATAAAGACTATATTAAATGATCAGACTGCTGCCCATTATTATCTAGACAGAGTTGGTACCGTCTCCGCACGCCGGCGCCGCCTCGCGCCGCTAACAGAATTCAATGGCTCTATAGTCTGTCCAACGAGAAGATCCTTGACAGTGATAGATGTGTGTGTCATTTTAATTTCAAAGTAGTTTATTTTATTTTACAAAGAAATAAGTTGGTACAACTGGAACGCATAGCAGGAAATTAATATATTTAAAATTTGACTGACAAGGACAAGTGATTACTTCAAAATATTGTGAAAAAAACTGTATAAAACTAAAAAATGTCAATCGAGTTATTTTATTTAATAACAAACGGTATGTGTTAATACAAAACAAACAAGAACAAGACGCCACATACAAAAAAAAATATAAAAAAGAACTATTTCTTACTTTCAAGCTTTATGAAACTTCCCGCATTTATGATTTTATTTATCAATATAACTTATGTACAAATACAAACTTGTAATATTCCGCAGGAATAAATAATTAAAACAACATAAATAAAACAAACTATTTTATTAATAATAACATTTACCAAATTTTATACCTTAAAGGTTAATTTAATTAACTTTAATATTAATTTTTTTAAACCAGTAGGTACCTTTTGACATTATTTTTCTCTGCAGTACTAAAATCCATTATTTACCTATCGTGTGATGTCGATATAGCTACTCCAGTTTTTAGTACGTATTTAGTATGGTCCTTCTACCATATTCGAGATGCACTTATCTACGACGAGATGGTATACGAACTTTATTGATGGTAACTTTATTGGTGTATAAGACTTTCTGCCTGGGCAGCAGTATTAACCATAAACAGTGCTCTGGGCAAAGCTCTGGGTCTACAGTTAATTTTCACTCGATTTTCCTCCTCCACTTGATTTCAAAAGACACAAAACACACGTAATAACACTAATCAAAATGCATCATCTTCCAAAACGCAGTATTTGATTAAAAGTTGACACAAAATTCTAACCTATAATTTGGCAAGACTTTGACAAACGTCAAAAATCTAAAGGCGAGTTCATACGCATCG